TCTCGCTAATCGCTGGTCGAGGAGTACCGAAAGTCGGTTGAGGCACCGAAACAGTCTCGATTTCCGGTGAAGTAATATGATGTTCCTTTTAAATTCTAAGGATGAACAAATACCCATGTACACTAAAGAAATTGCCAATACCTTCTCGCCTTTTTTGGATTTCCTCCTGGAAAGTCGACTAATAAGCGTACCGAATCGATGTGGGGTTTGTGAGGCATCAAGACTGGAAAGAATTTCATTAGCTAAGAGAAAATAAGTGTTTTAAATAAGGTTGCTATGCGATAGCCTTACATATACATTCAAAATCAGAATGGCTCAAATGCGCGCAGACATACTTGCTCATATTTAGATTTCCTGCCAATTTCGCGATTTTATTCAGGTAGATAATCCGCTCTTTCAATGTAATGGATTTTGTATTAAATATTATAAAAGACTGAAGAATAATGGAGATTTTTGGAACTTCAACGTCTGTGGTTGCCGAAATGCTAAAATCTTTATGTAATCGCGCATCTCTGAAGGGAGGATGCGCAAGGAGCAGCAAGAAGGATGCGCTAGAGTTCCTAGCACTTCGCTGCTTTTTTCTGAGCAAAACTAGGTAAGCACACAAATCCTTAGGTATCTCCGCAGAATGCTGCACTTCCATATCTTTGTAGGAATATGTAAGGTATTTAGCTTGTAAGGTGCACGATATAAGAAAGTACAATGTTATGCTAGTTATAAAAGTTCACATCAAAAATTGAAGCTTGGGATTCTCATTTGATCGAAAATTCTATAATGTTTCTATAAATAAAGTTCTTGCATAATTTATCTCATAACATTTAGATAGGCTAAACTAATCAGTCAACTTCGGACCAAGAAATCATGTCCAAATAAATTCTTTTAACTTTATAACTATGTCTAAGTGCACGTTTCGACAGGGAAGGAGAACCACCACAAGGCTCATTTGCCCGAATTGCTAGCCCCAATAAAAAGCCGAGGTCCTGGGGAGTTCTGCTACTTGAATTCGAAAATGGCAAATGATAACATCAGTCGTCTCTGTAACATGTAAGCGAAAAAAGTGACTGCTTGTTTGGATAATTATGAAATAAGCACACGATAAATAATGAAACTTGAATGTGATTCTGCAAAGATTGCTTCCAAAGACCACTTAACAATCGCGATATCTTTAGAAAGTGATCGAACTTCGACTAAGAGCAACGCAAGATGTTTCTTCCAAAACATCAAAGCAACAGCATGAGTCTATGTATAAAAAGCTTTAAAATTGAATCAAATTTCAGATGAAGAAAGAAATTTCGCTTTTCCAGCGTT